AGACCGGAGGGTCTTGTGTGCTATGTGTATGTATGAGATTATGTGCATTGTGATATATGTATGCTATGTGTTGTATAGACCGGACCGGAGGGTCCAACGATATAGACCGGACCAAAGGGTCCAACGATATAGACCGGACCGAAGGGTCCAACGATACAGTCCGGACCGAAGGGTCCAACGAGCTATGACCGGACCAGAGGGTCCAACGAACTACGGGACTGGAGGGTTCCGCTGAGACACATCGACTGGAGGGTCGCACTGTAGCCTCGAGTGGCGTATGTGTTGTATGTGGTATTTTGGGGAACTCACTAAGCTTCGTGCTTACCGTGTTATATGTTATGTGTTTCAGGTTGTTCTCAGGAATCGCGGGAAGGCACCGGCTTGATTGTACACACCAGAGAAAGAGTTATGTTTTGAGGATCCTGGATTTTTAATGGAGTTGTGTTTTGTAATTTGAATAAACGAGATTTCCATACAATTTGTTATGAAAAGTATGCGATTTTAAAATGAAAAATCTGTTTGAAAAATTACGATGTTACAAAATAATTTAATTAATCAAATAATTTGTGATTATCTATATTTGACCTAATTCAATTTATGGCAAGATAATTCATATTAAATAATACAAATAATTTATTTTATCATATAAACAAGTAATTATCTTATTATTTAACAATTATCTTTTAATTGGATGAGGATAATCAATACCATATTGAAAAAATCGAATTTTATCTGTTAAAAACGTTTATGGTAGTTATCCCAACCCAATTCTAGTCAAAATCCTGAAAAATCTGCTAACAGACGAGCCGACTCGCCGAGTCACATACTGGACTCGTCGAGTAGCCCTGACTCGTCAAGTTCATCAAGGGGACTCGATGAGTTCATTAGGAAGATGCAGATTTTGGACTTTTTCAGCTTTGAACAATTTAGCTATGCATCAAATACAATAGAAAACCGACCTAGGATCTGATACCGTTGATGGGTTTTGAGCAAAACAACAATCCTATGGTGCACATGCAAACGCTAAAGCTTTGGATCTAGGTTTTTTCTAATTGTACATGCAGTAATCATCCAAAGCTTGTAAACTCTAATCTATCATATCGAAATCGAAATCAACATAATGAAACAAGTAAGAATGTTACCTTTCAATTGTAGCTTGAAGATCCTTGCCTTTGAGAGCTTAGTATCATAAGTGTAATACCTCTAATCGATCACAAACACCAAAATCAATTCGAGAATGTTAGAGAGAGTGGAGGAGGCTCAAAATCGGCTGGTGATCCTTCTAGGGTTTCAAGTGGTCGATTTTTGGATGCCATGGGGTTCCTTATATAGCTGAAGAATTAGGGTTTCAGTCAAATACCTAATCTGGTTGCTTAAGCCCTAAGCAGCCCATAGGAATCTTCCAGAATCCTTATCATGGACGAAATCTAGTGGGCTTCCACAAGGATTTCGTCCACCTCTATCCTTAGGGTTCCTCAGCCCATATTGCAATCATCTTATAATTACAATATCAGTCCCCTTAATTCAATTAACCTCTTTTGACCACAAAATTAATTCTAAATTAATTCTTGACCAATATTAATTAAATAATGTGATTTCTATATTATTCACATAATATATTAATAAATCACATTTATCCTCTTTCTCTATTATTAATCCAGTCAAGTTGCTTTGATGAAGGCAACCCAAAAGGACCATGCTACTATCGGGTCAAGTACATACCAAATATAGTTATGGGCTTAGACACCTAATCCAACAAAAGTAGGACCGCCTCAACCCAAACACAATATGTCAACATATGTAACAAATAAACATAAACACAGAACCAAAAAAAATATAGATAATCATACATATTTACTAATCAGTCATATACTATCATAGTATTATTCTATAACCAGGATACATACTCCAGTGGGCCAGCATTGGTGCCTTTGACACACTGGTACAGTGAGGAAAAGTAACATCTCAGTCTGAAAAAGGTATCTTACCGAACACAGCTCCAAATTAAACACCAAATAATGACCAATATCAAAACCACTCAAATTACCTAAAATACCCTTAGGTCAAACTTGGTCAAAGGTTAAAGTCAACAAACCAGTTGAGTCAACCCGAGCCGAGTATGCTGGACGTACTCATTTGTACGTGGGGGGTACTTCGATTGACCGAGAAGTCAGGCCCTTGACCGCGTACACGCAGCGTACCGCTTGGTACGCCCAACGTACGCACCTGGTCAACCCTTCTTCTCATTAAGAGCTTAATACATGAAGTCCTTATGTCTAAAGTCAAATCCAATCCCCAAATGACGTCCTTGACCATAAAGTTTCCAACTTTATGGTCTTGCATGGCCAAAAAGTGTTTAACACTAAAAACCTTAACTACTTAACCTATTAAGACCTTGTAACACATGCATGGAAGGGAATAAATGATCAAGACCACATTTTTATTCTTCTAAGCACCTCAAAACGCCTGGAAGGAAAACTTAAATAGATTGTAGTAACTCATACACAAAATACCCAACTAATCGGACCAAAAGGATACAAACTTCATGGCTAACTTAGATATATGCATAGGGTTCATCAAGTTCAAAGTTTTTTACCTCACAGTGATAACAAATGGTAATGAGATTCTGGATCCAAAGAGTCCTACTCCTCGACGATGATCTTCTCTTCTTCCTCTCTCCTTCAAGGTGACCAAAACACACAAAAAAAGCTCAATAGTGCTAAAAAATGGATTAAGGTTTGTTTAGGGACGAAGGTAAGTTGGAGACTGATAAAATAAGGTAGGTTGGGGACTTAAGGATCTTTAAATATGGTCCAAACCCTAAAAATTAGGGTTTGGGAATCATGTATGCACGCCCCGCGTACGCTAGGTACGCCCCACGTACATGAACTCGCCCCAAATATTACAAAAATACCAATATAGGCCATTTTGCAAGCTTTCTCATGCACAAGGGCCAAAATACAATAATTCTTCATAGTTATGGTTAAAATTGAACATACCTCATCATCAGAATGTTACAGCAGGTGAGGTGAGCTGCATAGGTGGGAAGTTCCTGTCCGTAGAGCTAAGAAACCTTCGAGAGATATGATAATTAGCAAAGATAATAATAGTGTTGAAATTGATCAAATTCAAGACCACTTATTTGTTCGTTTTGAAATGAAAAACCTGGTTGAAGCTAACTGTTTTCTCAGCTGAGAAATTGAGAAATCTAACAGTTAATTGTTATCTTAAAGAGGATGCACAATAAACCTGTTGCAACGCTTTTGATATGGGTTGGTCAGAGCTATGAATACTCCCATGGAATCTTCTTTAAAGTGGGTCAAAAGTCAAGGAAAACCACTAAAAGATGTGACATTGTATCGTCAGATTATTGGAAGTTTATTTTACTTGAGCGTCACCAGCCCAACGTCATTGCGCACTCGGTTGGAGTTATTTATCAGTTTATGTACCAACCATATGAGGGACACACACTTAGTTACAGCGAAGCGAATACTCCTTTATGTAAAAGGCACTCAAACTTATGGTTTGATGTAGAAGCAATCTGCAAAGTTTTCTTTGAGTGGTTTTGTGGATGCAGATTAGCAAGGTGACAGAGTATCAAGGCGCTCCACCATTAGGTTTTGCTTTACAACTTGCTCCCCTGCAATTTCATGGTGTAGTAAAAAGCAAAACGCAGTTGTTCTTTCTACGTACGAAGCTGAATACATGGCAACTAGAATGGCTACTCAAGAATGTTTATGGCTTAAGAGACTGATTGTCCGGTTCCTATTTTCTGTGACAATGAGAGTGCAATAAAACTTGATGAAAATCCAGTGTTTCACGCACGCACGAAATACAATGACACTCTTATTTCCATTTTATTCAAGAGAAGGTGTTAACTTGAGATATTGAGCTTAAGAAAGTATGGACCGTAGATCAAGTTGCAAATATCTTTACTAAAACTCTCGTCATATATAACAAAATTTGAACCCTTTCGGAAAGCTCTTGGTTTGGTTGACAGTGAATTTGCACGAAGGGGGAGTGTCAAAAGTAGTGCCAATATGCTTTTGACTAAGTGTAAATTTGTTTCCACTTTTTTGGGTTCTGTTGAAATAAAGTAGGAGTTTTGAACTTTTGATGAGTTTATAACGGAAGGGTAGTAGTTTTAGAAAATATTTACCAAAATAAGGTAGTTTTAAATTTATTTACCAAAATATGGTAAAAGTACAATTGATCTATAACTTTTTATATTAAAAAAAATAAAAAAACAACTACTGGCCACCAATCTCTCTGACGCAATTTCCTCTTTTTCTCTCACTCGTTCTTTCTTCGCCGATTCTTCTTGGCCGGAGCTAAAAGACAAACAACAATTCTATTATTTCACTGGAAGCAGCTTCCGACCATCCGATCCTTGTCATTCTCGTTGATGGTTGTGTTTATTGATGTCTCTATAAAGGGTGGAGTAACAAGATTATAGGTACCGAGTGTAGGTACAAACAACATTGATGGATTGGGCTTAGGAAAGTTGAGATCAAGGGAGTTATTTAGGGTTTAGGCAACAACTCTGATGATAACATCAAGGAGAAAGATGGTGGAGATGACAAATGCTCTTATCTCGAAACTGGTTGATCTTCTCACATCTTCCCTTTACTATCCAAGCTTAAATATATGTTGTCTTCAAAATCGATTCATCTGGAATCAAAATCACCATTTGAAATCTAATACGTTGTCATTAAGGGTTGTACGATGTCTTCAAAATCGATTCATCTGGAATCAAAATCACCATTTGAAATCTACTACGTTGCCGTTAAGGATTGTACGATGTGCATTAATAGTTAATCGTAAGATAGATAAGGGGATTGGAATCGATCTATTTTTTAAGGAAAAATTAGGAGTTTGGAATTTAAAATTGGAGATGTTCTTTTAGCTTGGAATCTATCAATTAATCAAAATCACATCTATTGTTTTAGTTATGTATTGATGTGGATATCAAGATAGCATATAATATGTTTATTTCTTTCTTATACTGAGTCCACCTCAGCCTCCATCTCCTCCTTGCCGACTGCCGAGCTCTGCCTCCCTCCAGTCCCTGCAACCTTAGAAGCACTACAGTTTCTGGCGATGATGGAATCTCCAACGTCTTCTTTCCATCTCGTTATGACAAACCTGGTTCGTTCCCACATAAACAGGTCATCAGATTTCCACACACATCTTTCTGGGTGTGTCTGAATGAGTTTTTTACACAAACAAGTTTGTGAGTTTAATTCCGGCTAGGTTGAGGTATCAAAAAACTCGAGATTGCGATTTGAATATCAGCCGTGAAGATGGATCCGTTAAATCATTTGAGAACTTAACATATAAAATTTTCTTCCTATGCTTCCTCCACCTTAATTGCAAAACTGATATCCGACGATCAGAAGAGATGACGACGAGGGAACAGGAGGAAAAAAGATAGAAGCGCAGACTAGTGGGCCATTTTAGTTTTCATATAAAAATTATGTGTTTTATTATTATTTGGTAAATAATTTTGAAACTACTATCTATTGGTAAATATATTTTCTAGTCACTATGATGCTGTTTGTTTTTTTGAAGCAAAAATCCATAAAGTCTGCGGACGACCTCTGCAACCCTCTGCAGTAGAAGAAGTGGACCAAACGGTTGCAGACTATAATAAGAAACGTGTTTCTTTTTTTAACATCTGCATGTTGCTACAGACAGTGTTGTAAAACTCGCCGAGTTGGACGATTACTCATCCGAGTACTCGCTACTCGACCCTTTACTGAGGCGAGTTACAGAATCCCGGGTACTCCCCGATCGGCCCCTTACTGAACTGAGCAGTGATGTCAAACCCGATCAACTCGGTGAATAATATGTATAATATACTTAACAATTTATTATTTAACACACATACATGTGATTATTACTACATATATATCTTAAATTTTTAGTAATTATTCATGAAGTGAGACCATTATGTGTTTTTGAGTTTTTGTGTATTCACATGTATCTAATTTTGTTATATATTTCAAACAACTTAAGATTTTAACTTATGATTTTGACATATATAAGTTCCCTAAAAATATTTCTACATGAATTACCGAATCCGAGTACTCCCGAGTGCTCCTGAGTACTCGCTACTCTGTAGTCGGCTGAACAGGTACCGAGTAACGAGTTCTACAACCTTGACTGCAGATATTAAAAAATTAAAATAAACTAATTTTATAATCCGAAAATAGTTTTTTAATACCGAAAATTTAATAATGTATGACATTTCGGCATGAATTTATGACATTTCAGCAAAAAATAATGATATTTTAACAAAAAAAATAAAGATATTTTAGCATAAAATAATGATATTTCATCAACAAATTATTATTATTCAATATAAAAAAAAGGAAAAAAAATTCAACAAGAATAAACGAAAAAAAAACGAAAAAAAATGTGAAATAAGATTTCAACAATATATAATCAATATTTTAGCAAGAAAAAAAAGAAGAAGAAAAGGTTGGAAGAGATAGGAAGAGACAAAACAAGTGCTGCGCCAAGAAGAACACGTGCAGACGTTTTTTAATCCGAAAACTTCTGAAAAACAAACAATTGTGGGATGAAAAGTGTTGCGCGTGTGCTGCGCTGCGCAACAATAAGAGGTCTGAAGAGTTTTTTTCTAAAAAACAAACACCTATGTTTCGGTAAAAAACTCGGTATCTAAGGCTTTGTTTGTTTTTCTACAAAAGTATTTTTTGAGCACTTTTCCCTTCTGGCGGGTAGACATTTCTCAAGTGCACGTCTTCTTCCACAAAATGGCAAAAGACAAAAGACATTTAACCACTTCCAAAACAAACACCACCTAAGAGTCAAGTTCATTGAGTATTTTTAGGGATTTTTCTTTAGTATAAATTTAAGCTTCCATTAGCTTTTATTCTTGTTTGTTCTTTTACCATTCTACTGAGTAATATATCCTCTATTGGTTGATATCTTGTCGTTCTTCTTTTGCTTGATTCCTTATTGATTACAATAGAAAATATAATGCAAACTATGAATAAAACAAAAACATTTCTTGATATCCATTATTTTAAATCACGCGTCTGACCATGTAATATCTGTTTGCCCCCAATCACTTTGCGACACCTGGAGAGCTAGCCAAACGGCGTAAGATGCATCCACAATATTATCACGACAACCCCTATTTGAGTCACACTCGTCGACCAGCATAGCTCGTGCACTATTACCATTTTAATAAATTATACATACTTATAAAGCTAACATTTTTCCTTTAATCTCATGCATTTGAAACCCCCATAAAAATTTGCAAACACCTCATGTATTTGAAACCTCTCATTTTAATGAATACCACTCAAAAGTCTCTTAATAATGATTAACAATTCAAAGGTTTTATAACTTACATAATATATTTAATAAACAATTAATGGATACTCTACTATAAAAAGGTCAATCTTTTTTAGTAGACACAAAATACAAATCACATACAAAATTCACAAAGAAAACAAGTTTAAAGTTTTTTGTGTTTGTTTGACGGCTTTGAATAATTTTTCGAGTCATGTTATTATGTTTAATTTTTAATTTGTAAGTTTGTTATATACTAATTCTTTTTTGTATTTTCTTGATTTAAGTATTCTTTTAAGAATATCATTGTATATTGTGGTTGAAATTTTAATGTAAATTAGATTAGATTCATGTTATCGATCATATGTTATGGAAGATGATATATATAATATTTAATTAACTATTGTGTACATGTTTGTATGTTCATGTTGCTTCAAAACAATAATTAATTAAAAATCATGGATATGTCATATTATCCATATTATCCATGTAAGCCTTTTTTAAAATGCAAGTTGTCTATCTTATCACTTTATATTTTAGTATATGTTTAACATTTTAATTATAACAATAAGTGTTTTTTAAAAGTTTCTTTCACTTATTAATAATAAAAAGTGGTTTTAAAATTAATAAGCAATAATTATAAATAATAAAATCAAATTACATGAATATGTCATATTATCCATGCAAGCCTCTTTTGAAATGCAAATTGTCTATCTTATCACTTTATTATTTAGTGTATGTTTCACATTTTAATAATAATATTAAATATTTCTTAAAAGTCTTCTTTACCTTATTATTAATAATAAGTGGTTTAAAACTAATGAATAACAATTTTAAATGATAATATGATACGGACCCATCCCATACTAGGCCCGCATCACGCCATAAGCCCAAGTGTAGAACTCACTCCCAAAAGCCAGCTTGTAGGAGGAGAGGACACCTAGACTTATAAGCCACCAACTTATAGTACTTTCGGCCGATGTGGGATCATAACAATACCCCACGCTTTGAAGAGCCAACGTCCTCGTTGGTCACGGTTGGCACCCCCTTTTGGTCCAAGCCACCACTCCGAGTCATTGTTGGTCACGGCTACGTTGGTCACGGTTGGCACCCCTCTTTTTGGGTCCAAGCCACCACTCCGTAGGCCACCACTCCAAGTGTTGGCACCTCGAAAGATGGGGTCGGCTCTGATACCAATTGATACGGACCCATCCCATACTAGGTCCGCATCACGCCATAAGCCCAAGTGTAGAACTCACTCCCAAAAGCCAGCTTGTAGGAGGAGGGGACACCTAGACTTATAAGCCACCAACTTATAGTACTTTCGGCCGATGTGTGATCATAACATAATAACATCAAATTATAAATTACATTTAGTTATAAATAAATTGTATTTTAAATGAACATCATTATTGAAATTAGAAAATGATCGCAAAAGTAAAAATATAATTAATCCATAATAATAATTGTTAAAAATGATACTAAGTAGATAATTATATTTAATTCTATTAATGAGGAATGTGGGTTGATGTTAATGAATATTATTGTTCAAAATAATAGAGATTATATATATTAGTGTAAAAATATTATCTCAATTTAATGTCGATAACATAACCATTTTAAACATAGATTTTTTAATATTTTAACAATATATTTTTAATCTTCGCTGCGCAATGCGCGGAAATTCGTCTAGTATTAATATAATCAAAGCACCTTTCCCCTTTATTATACCACCTTGTCGATAATGCCACAATCAAAAAGTTATTCGAGTGGTATTCCCCGTCACACTCCGACGGCCCACCAACATCTCCGTCCTTCTCAAAGCTGTTGATTGTCATAATGGCCGGAGTACCGCCGGAGTCTAGAGGTGAGTGTTTGGTTAGACTGTAGTTTGAAGTTACGTTTTTGCCCCTTGATTGAGCGGTGATGATATGTAGGGAAAGTAGAACGAGAAGGATAACCGTGGGTGCCTTCATTTTTCGCCGGTTTTTATGCATGGGTTTGTTGAAGAAATTGAATATATAGTTAAAGGGTTTATTTATTTATTATTATTATTGTTATTATTTTGTACCGAGCATCGTTATAATTTTGCCCAGTTGTACGAGAAATGCAAGGCGTAAACGGATGGTTGACTTTTATTCCGTTAAATCTTAAGAAGAAATACAGGCAAAAATATAAAAAATAGAGGTTGACTTTGTGTGAGAAGGTTGACGTTATCGTCTAATGATTGAAGAAATACAAGCGAAAGCGAAATGAAAGACAAGAAAGCCCAAGTGTATTGATAAAAATCTTTTATGATACAAGTTTATAAGAAACAATTAGCAAATAAGAAGTTAGCTGTCAACAAGTTTATTTTATTCAAGATAAGTTGATTATTGCTCATTTGATTATAAACTTAAACAAACATTTTTTTATTGATGGATAATATTTTATCAGGTATATAGTGGTATTTTTGAAGATTTATTGATTTTGTTGTAACTTATGATATATCAATAGTTGCTTATATCAATATTATGCTTATATTCACCTACAATCGTTGTTTACCCAATAGTTGTTGTATATGTAGTGGGTTGTTATGTATCTGTAAAGAAACTAGAAACGATCAATAAGAATGTTGCAATAAATTATTAAGTTGAACTAGTTTGCTATACAACACATTATCAACACTGTGCTTAAAGACAAACGCAGAGTGCCAAAAAAAGAGAAGTTCGAGATCACATTCTTCTCCCTAATCTCGTGTTTTTTCTTGATACTCTCTAATAACTGTACGATTTATTTTCTCTACATATGTTTTCGGTGTATACATTTAGGTCGTAGAAGCTTTAGAATTTACCGCTTAATTTGGAGGATTTTCTCGAATATTACAATCCCTGTATATTATTTCTCCTTTCCATGGGTTTTTGCTTCTTGTTAGCTCCAATATATTCACTTGCTCCAAAAATAATTATACTTTATTATATTTGTATGTTTGTTAAGTTATTAATTTGTTAATATACCAATTCCTTACATATAATAAAGTCCTTATATATTTTTTTTATTCAATTAAGTCCCAAATACCGGTAATCGTATTCAATTTAACTCCTTGACCCGGTCAACAGGTCATCAAACTTACAAAAATTACATTTTTGGCCCAAATTTCAAAATTTATTACAAATTTGGTCCAAAATTTACACTTTTGGCCCAGATTTTAAATTTTGTTACAAATTTGGTCCAAACTTTTCCCTTTTCGCCCAAATTTTTATATATTTATATACTTAATAAATACCTATTTTTATAAGTAGATATTTCATTTATAAAAAATTTGGGCAAAAAGGGTAAAGTTTGGACCAAATTTGTAACAAAATTTAAAATCTGGGCCAAAAGTGTAAAATTTGGACCAAATTTGTAATAAATTTTAAAATATGGGCCAAAAATGTAATTTTTGAAAGTTTGATAACTTGTTGACCGGGTCAAGGGGTTAAATTGAATACGATTACCGGTATTTGAGACTTAATTGAATAAAAAAAATATATAAGGACTAAATCGATTATGAGGCCAATATGTAAGGTCTTTATTATATTTGGTTGTAACATTTATATGTTAGTTTATTTTATTATATATACCAATTCTTGGCTAATCATATTAAAAAACATGGATAAAGGTATTATGGTAATTTAACATAATAATTAATTAATTATATTTTCAATTAATGAACTAATTTAGGTAACTAATTAACTTGAAACCCTTTTAACTGTGTGGAAAGACAAAACTTCAAAAATGGTCTCTATGAAAATCTGAAGTTTAGTCCCTAATTTTTAAAAACCTCACAGATGGTCCCTGTGGTTTCAAAACTTTTAACAAATGGTCATTTTCGTTAACTCCGTTAGAATTTGGCAGTTAAGTGAAAGGTTTTTTCTGTCATTTCACTACCACAAGGACCTTTTATGAAGTTTTGCCTTATTTATAAAAAAAAGAAAAAAAAATACTTAATATTAAAGGGTCCCACCCTCCCCCTCTCTCTCCTCTCCTCTCTCTCTCTCTCTCTCTTTATGGCACTGCCGGAGCCATCACCCTAAATTTAGACCTCAACTCAGTATCATCGGAGCCACCACTGGAGCCATCAGTGATACAACCAAAACCCACTAAAAACCCATGGATCTTCATTTACTCTACCTATGTCGCCCCTCTCTTGTCTGTACTCCTTCTTCTCCCCCTCGATTTCCCTCTACTCCATCGATTTCTCTCTATGTAGTTGCTTCTCTCTACCATCACCAGCTTCATCAATTTCATTTATGAACGCCTCTTCTAGCTCTTTATGAGCTACGGTAAACACTAAGCTTTGGCCAACATCTGAACACCGACGATCGCCTCCTCCTTTCAGATACCTCTTATTGTCAGCTACCACAATAGTGCCATCAAAATCAAACGATTGGTTCCTACTGAAATCGATGGAGGAAGATCCCAACCTGGTGAAATAAATTAAGCCTTAGAGTTTGTCGTTTGTTCTTGATGAAATTGATGGAGGCAGAACCGATTTCATGAGTTATAGATGGGTGAGCTTGTATTGACGAAGCTCGCAAATGCAGAGCTTTTAGAGGAAGCCGACAATGGAGATGATGCTTCCGATTTAGGTCTCAAATATTATAGGTAGAGCTTGAATCTAGGTTACAATTTTAGATTTTGATTTGGGCTTACGAATTTAGGTCAAATTATGCTGATTTTGCTCCAATTTTGGTGGTGTCGGAGAAATAGAGAATGTGAGGGTGATGGGTGAGGGAGGCTATTTGTAACACCCAAAAATTCAAACCAATTTAAACTTTTAAAAACATTTCAAACCATTAAAAATCATTACAACTTTGTTTTCAAAATGTATAACATCAGAGTTTTCCCAGAAACATAGACAAAACATGAGGAGCTGTACGATCACGCCTTCGCCTTGCCGCGATCCCCTGATGTACCTGAAACAATAAACTGAAACTGTAAGCCCGAGAGCTTAGTGAGTTCCCCCAAAATACCGATACACATACAGTCCATATAAACATATCATAACAAACTGAAAAACATGTAATGGGTCCCCAGCTTCACAGACTGGATTACCCCTGAGCCCACAGTACGAGTCTCCCATTAGCCCATAACTGGAATGCTCCCGAGCCCACAGTACGAGTCTCCCTTTAGCCCGTAACTGGAATGCTCCCGAGCCCACAGTACGAGTCTCCCTTTAGCCTGTAACTGGAATGCTCCTAAGGTCTGTTGGCTACCGCACGGAGCAGTACAACCTCAACCCATCACACATAACATATAACATACCACATAACCATTGAGCATGCAATAATCATATAACATCACAGGTAGTCCTACAGGTCTACCTAACTGACATAACTACTAGCATGCAACACTAACTTATACTCAACATCTAACACTGCTAGAATAACATATCCAATGGGCCGGCCTTGGTGCCTTAGACCCCTTAGTATAGTGAGGATAACTCACCTTGCAACTGTCGTCTGAAACTAGAAAGCTCAACTCCCGGATCACCAACACGAACTCCACCACCTATAGTTACCATAAGACCCTTTTTCATAAATCTCCAAATTACCAGAATACCCTCAGAAGTCAACTGGTCAACTCTTGGTCAAAGTCAAAGTCCACAGTCAAAGTTAACAGTCTATGTTGACTCGACTCGTCGAGTGCAGTTCACCGACTCGTCGAGTCCTTCCTAACTCAAGAAGTCGTGAAATCCTTGATTGGCTCGTCGAGTTCCCTTTTAACTCGCCGAGTTCATACGTGTCCAAGAATTGGGAGAAACCCTAGTCGACTCGCCGAGTCTTCGAACGACTCGCCGAGTTCAAGGAAATCTTCAACGGACTCGCCGAGTTTGTTCATCAACTCGACGAGTTCACGACCATCTTCATATGACTCGCCGAGTTGACTATGCAACTTGCCGAGTCCTTGTAGACCTTCATCCATGCAGACACTTTTTAAGCCATGCCAAGGTTCCAGATTACAGATCCAAGCTTCTAAGGCATGTTTAACACGTAAAGTTGCAAACTTTACACCATAGGAGAGTCACATCCTTGCAAAAGTTGGAAACTTTATGGACTTAGGACTCAAAAGAGGTTCAGATCTGAAGTTTCAACTTCAGATCTAGCTCTCATACCAAAATCCCTTCATGAATAACTAAAGAAAGCCCTAGTTTTCACATATGAATGATTCTAGAAGAAAAAGAGGTTAAGGTAACAGTTGGTTACCTCCAAAACGTGCCCAAACTTAAGTAGACTCTGGATCCACACGGAAATCTTGATGCTAGCCTCTTGATCTACAAGTTTCCTTCACAAAAGTCACTTCCCAAAGCTCCAAAACACTCTCCAAGCTCTCACTCACAGCAATTAGGGTTTCTGGGTCTCAAGAGGGTGGTAGAGGACAGTGGGAGGCGCTAATGGTCCAATATATAGGGTGCAAAAACCCTAAAAATTAGGGTTTCCACTGCCAGCTCCTACTCGTCGAGTCCCATGCCGACTCGATGAGTCGCTCATTAATTGGCGTGTCCTGGCCCGCTGCTACTCGACGAGTCATAGCGCCAACTCGTCGAGTAGACCTTCAACGTGAAGTCTAAAAGGAAAAATATTAATAATACCTGACGGTTGGGATGTTAACATTCTCCCCCACTTGACTTAGACTTCGTCCTCGAAGTCAGCTGTAGCAAATAACTCCGGGTAATGCTCCCACATCTCAGCCTCCGACTCATGTCCACTCGGATCCCCTCCTATTGTATCTTTACCAACGGAACCTCCTTGTTGCGTAGGACTTTCACTTTTTCTTTCCAAAACGACAATCGGCCTCTCAATATAATTCAGGCGCTCATCAACCTGAATATCATCCAGTGGCACCACTGCCTCCGGGTGCACAATGCACTTTCGCAACTGCGAAACGTGGAAAGTATTGTGGATCCGACTAAGCTCCTCCGGCAGCTCTCTTGTCTGTAAGCCACCTTGCCAAC